TAAAAACTATGAAAAATAAACATTATTTTTATTTGTAACAACATGGACTGATTAATCATTGACAAGATGACCAGGAGCATGCATTTAGAAAGTAAATAACATCAGTTTTGATTTTATGTTAACTAAAGCCTGGTACACACTACACGATTTTTGCCCCGATTCTCCGCTGATTTACAATCTGGAGAAGTCGATGCTAGTTGCTGAAAGTCAGAGCCAGTCTGCAGATTTGAGTTGACAGATTCCATAGAAAATCACGTAGTGTATGATGGTCACAGATTTTTTTAGCTTCAGACTCTGATTCCACCCAGTCAGAGGAGATCAAACATGTTGATATTTTCAGCCGATTTTAGAACACATCATGGTTGCGTCCCGAAAGCCTAGGCAGCTGACTTGCTGCCTTATGAGGCAATGACTTTGCAGGCAGTGTTTTTGCACAAAGGCACCTCATGAAACTGATTTCGGACAAGCTTCTGAGGCAGCGTAACGGTTTAATGATCTACAACAAAATAGAACGAGTTTTGGTGATAACTAAACGAATATTTAATTACTATAATACTGATTTCTCGCCAGAAATGACATTAAAAGTGCAAAAAGTTAGTCTGAAATATACATTTACACATAAACTGACCACCAAACGCAACTTTCAGACGCCATCTTTATTTTTTGGCTCAACCGTCACGGAATGGAACGCACAGGATTGTGGGATATCAAAGGCAGCGAAGGAATACATCTATGCTGCCTTCAAAATTCGATCAGAAGAAGGTACCTCCGGAGACAGGAAGTGAAGCAGAATTTGTATTCGAACGTGCCTTGATGCCTTCCTGCCTTGTAATGCTGCCTCTGAAGGCAGCATTTTAGAGCTTTCGGACGCAGCCATTGTTTGCTTGCTGACGGGTACACGAAAGCAGGAACATATCACCCCCGTTCTCGCCTCTCTCCACTGGTTACCTGTCCATTTTAGGATTCAGTTTAAGATTTTGGTATTTGTTTTTAAATCTCTTAATGGTTTAGCACCTAAATATCTGTCCGACTTGATCAAGCTGTATGCTCCGCTAAGAGCACTTAGGTCTGCTGACCATTTGCTTTTAGTTGTCCCACGGGTAAAGTTGAAGAGCAGGGGTGACCGAGCATTTGCAGTGGCGGCCCCGAAGCTCTGGAATAGTTTGCCCCTCTACATTAGACAGGCTCAAACACTTGCTGTTTTTAAATCTAGCCTAAAAACTTGTTTTTATAGTCTGGCATTTGATGCTACATTAGAGCTGCTTTCTTTTATTGTCTTTATGGTGTCTTATTGTCTTCATTTGTGTTATTGATTGTTTGTTTCATTGATATTTTTTATTCTTTTATGTGTGTACAGCACTTTAATAAACACTTGCTGTTTTTTTAAAAGTGCTTTATAAATAAACTTTGACTTTGACTTTTCATTTGTCACGCGTCTCCTAGCAACAAGGCATACATTTATGCATGAGTTTGTTGTGATCGGAACAACTTCAAAGTCTGGTAGTGTATGATCCTCAGTCGTTTAGTGTATTTTCACTATTTTAAAAAAGTCAGTAAGTGTATGATGCCTAGTGTTTTAAAAATCTGTTCAGATTTGAAAAATCCTGTCTGTGGTGTATTCCAGGTTTAAGATGTTTTTTTTTTTTTTTTAAAGAAGCCTCTTATCCTCAGCAAGGCTGCATTTATTTGATCAAACATACAGTTAAAACAGTAATATAGTGAAATATTTTTACAATTTAATAATAACTTTGTATTTTAATATATTTAAATGTTCTTTATTCTTGTAATATAAAAGCTGAATTTTCAGCAGCTATTAGTCCAATTTATATTATCTATGTTAAAAACAGTTGTGCTGTTTAATTTTGAATCCGTTATACTTTCTTCAGGATCCTTTGATGAATAGAAAGTTCAAAAGAACAGCATTTATTTGAAATAGAAACATTTTGTAACATGATAAATGTCTTTACGGTCACTTTGAACAATTTAATGTGTTTTGGCCTAATAAGTGTGAAAAAAAAATTACTGACCCCATGAATTTTTCAAAATGTGTTATTTACATGCATGACATTTTTTAATGAGGGTAAAAAATGACTTGAGTGAACCTTGTTATTTTGACATTTTAAAAGACATCTCAAATAAATCTGTCCATAATACAGTGGGAGTTTTGCTTTTCTCTCTCTTCTCGTCTCTCTCCAAAGAAAAGTTTATGGTGTATCACATAAGCGCTTTGATGTATAATATTATCTGTTTGATTTCCAATATCATCTGTGTATAATGGTCGCAGTCTCAGGTGTTTCTAACGGGCTCGACGGCCGGCTTTTATGTGACCGTTCAAGGCCGTCCCAGCGCTATTCAGTAATGCTGTGAATGCAATTCCTTGACTTTTACAGAACAATAGTGATGGAGGGAGGGGGTTTACAGAGGAGAGGACGTTTAGAGTGGCTAAATCAAAGCGTCTCGCACACAGCTGCAGTTTCTATTGAATCGGCCCCAGTCCGAGGTTATGATTTAGTCTCATCTCTGATATACTGTATATGTCTTTTTTACTCCTCTTCTTTATTCCCGCATTTGCATCTCCAATCCCCCTAGCATGTTCTTCCCTGTTCCTCCATGTGGATACCAGAGCGGGGCCACACACTGAGAGCTCTGGTTCTTTTTGCTTACTACGTTTCTCTTGAATGCTCTTTTTTGGACGAGTGGAGTAGTTTTGGAGTACTGCATGAGGATAGCTGGAAGGCATCACATTCATAGTTCTCATCTTCTGTTTCTCTCTCCCATGGCACTGCTTGGAAGAGGCATGTGTTCCTTGAAGAGTGAAATGAACACGCTTGTCACGAGCTTGGAATCTGTGATTTTCCTTTTTTTTCTGTCTCAATCTTCCTTGTGTTCCATGGTTCTTTTGAGTTCTCCACCATCGTCCTCCCTTTCCATTAGATCTGTGTGTGTGTGTGTGCGCGAGAGGGCCTTTTTTTGGTTGGTTTGTTTGTGTCATTGTTTTACAGGCGTGTGGTGCTGTTGTCATTGTCGTATCAAGGTTGCTCATGTAGTGTATGGTGTCTTGCACATTGGCTGTAGGTGGCTAGATCACGGGAATGACACAAGTGTGATTGTTACTAGTTTGAGTCATGATATACCAAAAGGAAAATGGACCTGTCCATCCGTGCATTGATTTTGTGACAGCCCTTTTTTTTTCCTTCCTTTTTTTCCCCACACGACCAGAGAAAATGAATATGCTAACAAGGCTGTAATTTAGCAGAAGGCACTTTCTTGAAGACATCAGCTGTTTTCTGTAAAACACAATTGGAATGTGTAATTTGGAGTCTGAAAAACTTGCAAATTATGGTCTAATTGTCCCAGTTCAATAATTGCTGATAACCCCAAAGGCCGTGCGCATCCTGTTCGCAAACCGACGTAATCAGTAAGTAAGAAAAGCGGAGAAGGTCCGCATACAGAGCCCCTAAAGCACAGCCCGGCATTGTTTAAAGAAATCATAGAAATGAGCTGCCCGTTCGGTCTCCTGGTGGGAAAAGTCAATACATTTAGAGGAATGGCGCTGCTGGAGCACACATTTTCCAAAATAATGAGCATCTAGTCAATAATGCAGATATATCCCAGCCATCCGAGATTTATTAACCTGTATCTCAGGGCCCAGATCTAATTTAGCTGTATGTTAGAGTCACTGGTGTTCATTAACAAACATAGAGCTTACCAGTCTCATAAATCAAGTTTTTTTTTTTAACTCTCGATGGGCGGCAGGAGGAGCCTAGTATAACGGATCATAGAAAGGAACAAACCGATAGTCACAAGGACGAGTTTAAGCTTAAATTTGTAGTGTGTTTTCACATTTTCAGTGCCCTTCAAACGGCAATTAAAATCACCAGTTCTTGCATTTCGGGTGACTCATCCAATCAGCGTTTTTTTCCCTTACTTAATACTTTAGGAATAATTCACCAGGTGCTATATCCTGAGGGTCACCTTTTCAATCTTAGCTCCAGAAGAGTGGAGGCAGCCCTGGTTTGATCACTGCACCGCATACTCATTAAAACTAACCCCTGTAAACACAGATAACGCAGGTCAAACAAAATACTTTGTTGCCACGCATTGAAATATGAAGACAGAGCGACTGTGTAGTGAATAAAAATGTCTATACTAATTTGCAGTGGATTAACTTCTTAATCGCCAGGAGTGGAAGAATATGTAAATTGCCTAATTTCTCTGCTCTCTGATTGGCTCTTTATCTGGTCCAGAAACACCATGCATGCATAACAAGGCTTTGAGGAGCCGATATTCCAGGTTGTTTTCAAACACAGTGATCTTAAGCCCTGCTCGAACTTTGAGGGAGAACAGGGCGAGATCTCAGGATAAAAGACACTGAAAAAGTATAAAATAAGCTCACATTTACACTAAACATCCTGCAGCATTTTCATCAAGTCAGCCCCGGACGAGAATAATGAACAGCTGTTTTGTTTCGGTTTTTTTGGTGCAAGTACTGTAAAACATTGATCGCTGGTCTGTTAGATTTTTTTTTCCTATGATGTATTTTTTTGCCTTTTTGATCAATATGCCTAAATTAAACTACTAAAAAATTGAAGGGTTGTTTGTGCAAGTGTATTGAACTAGAAAAAGCAAGCAAATTCCTCTTGGTACCGATTTGCAAAGTTTGTACGTACAAACAGATATTGCCGTAAGCGCTGGCATCCCATAAACACACAATTAGAGTGAACAGAGCATCTAGTGAGGTCTTGCACAAGTGGCCCTTCAACTTTCAAACAGTGATGTCTTCCTCTTTGACCTGTGCAGCATGACTGCAAGAGCCATGTGATCTTCTCCTCTCTGACTTCATTTGATTGTCATTTTCCAAACACTCTGAAATCATCACCATACGTAGTTGTTTCAGTCAATTGGTGTCCTATATGACTGTATGACATTTGTGTTTTCATAGAAAAGAAGCGATTTTCAACTTGGCAGCGTGATCTGACCATCTCTCCGTGTTTCCACAGTTACGGACGAGTTTATGCTGCCGACCCCTACAACCACGCACTTGCTCCAGCAGCCGCATACAGCGTTGGTGCCATGGTGAGCGTGAATTTTCATCTCTACCTGCCTCGATTCCTCTTTCTTTTTTCCTCTTTCCTCATGACCCCTTTATTTATCCCTTCCCTGCTCTTTTCTCAGTGCACGCTTGTCATGAACGCTCATTCTTTTCCCTTTTCTTCCCACCTTTTCCTCCTGCATGGATTTTAGCTCTGCTGACATCTCCTCACTTAAACGTAATTGAATTTGTCTCTTGTGCTAACGGCAGCTGAAATGCCACATTAATCCTCCCAGTAAACGTGATAAATGTCTTAATTTCTTGGCAGTGTAGTGCATGTTAGTTATTATATTTCTAATTTTGTGAATATCACCTAGCCGAGCGCTCCCCTTAATGGAATAATTAGTCATTTTGATAATTAAATCCATCGCCTAAGTGGTGCTGTAGCAACAGCTAAAAGAGGGAGGGAGCAGAGGAGAGACGATGTGATGAAAGAGTGCGAGGAAGACCGACAAGAGTCTCCAGGCGCAAACTGCGATGTGCGACTTGTTTGTACTCGGACTGTTTTGATCGCAAAACGTCCACGTTGCATATAGAACGCACACTGCAAAGATCAATTTCTTAAACTGTACATTTTGTCTAGTTTTCCAGTAAAAATGCCTAAAACCTTTATGTAAGTTAATAAGACTTTGTTTTACTTTTTTATTATAAATTTAATTGTTTGAAAGTTTTACGTTTCTTGTTTTAAGAATAAACCTCTTTAAAGCCTCATGCACACCGGGACGATTATCGCGCGCACTTATCGCCAGCGTTTTTCGAGACGTTTTTCGACGTGTCTTTGTGTTCATACCCAAGCGATTTTCACTGGCGATGAGCCGAGTGAACGTGCAAATTCACTCCCTGACATTAGATACCCCGGTACACATCGAATCCTATTTGATCTGCAATTCGTCTCCATAACAACTCCCTCTCGAGATTTTTGTAGTCGCTGTCGCGTTTGTCATAAAGCCCTTTGTGTTCAGACACCAATGAGACCAGCAGCTCTACATTCATCTTGCCTTGATGCATCTTCTTCGTCTACTTACTTCCTCTTCGTCGTTAGGTATCAATGTGTGCTCGGCAAGACTGTTTTGTGCTCGAGCGCCACCAAGTCGTGTTTTACTGTAACTTCAGCAGCTCCAGGCACGTGAACAAAAGCACCAATCTCATTGGTCGGCAAGTTTTTAACGCGGCGCGTCAAGCCAAAAAAACTAGCCCGAGGCGTTTTTTTAAAAATGACGCTTTTACGCCTCCCGTTTTGTGCATCAGTGTGCACACTCACATTGGTGCCCTTTGTTTAGTCATGAGGCGTTAAACGTCGGCGATAATCGTGCGCGATAATCGTCCCGGTGTGCACAAGCCTTTAGAGTGTGGTCGCATTTGCCATTGCTCTGCGTAATTTTGCTGGCGAAATACAGTTGTTTCAGTAAGAATCTGCGATTCTTCATTTGCCGTGCAGACTAACAAAGCTGCTTTGTTTAAAAGAGACTTCTGTGTGAGCTATGCTATTAACAACTGACAATTGAGGGTTTTTTAATGCACCCAAATTTTTTTTTGCTTCAAGATACTGGAAAATAAGACAAAAATACGTTAAGGAAATGCTTTTTGAAGCATATGAAACTGCATTCGTTGCTCTATTTTTATTTGCTCTGTTAACTCATGTAATTCTTGCATCCCGTTTACGTTTTTAAGTAGCTAAATGCAACTTCTGGCATGAGTTGTGTTGGTGTGCTTGCTGCATGATGGAACGTGATTGGTTTCGTCCAGGGGGTATGTACGGCAAATAGCCTGAATGCTAGCGGAGGTCTCCTCTGAACTGTGTCAATTAAACGTGTCCAAACCCGTGGCTTCTCTTCCAGAATGCTTTCGCTCCCTTGACTGATGCCAAGACCAGAAGCCACGCCGACGATGTGGGTCTCGTTCTTTCTTCTTTGCAGGCTAGTATATACCGAGGTGGATACAGTCGTTTCGCGCCATACTAAAAAAAAAAAAAACCTTTCAAAACCTATTGAGAATCTTCCTGTGGGGGTAACGGAGGAGTAATTCAGAGGCCTGGGTATTGCAATACATGCAGTAGTGCATCATTTTAGCATCTCTTAAGAGAGAGAAGACAAAAACGGATATTTTTCATCTTATACCTCAGATATTTTGTGCTGTGTATTTTAATATTGTGGGTTTTTAATTTCTAAAGATTACATAGATTGTTGGCTGTAGAGGTTTCTGTGGTGATCTAGAGAGCTGCTAGATTTTAAAAAGATGAAAAAAAAATAAGATACAAATTGTTAGGGCTTTATCATGTAAATGAGTTATGTATGATAAATATTCAAGTCACTTCGGGGTTATCATATTTTGTAAGAGTGTAAGTGACTAGAGTCGTCCAGTGGTTTCTGCTTCCGTTTGACATCGCCTTTCGTCTTTCTTTTGGTTTCTTTTGTTTCTGGGTTCTGTGCCGTAGAGGAAGAGTGCACAGGGGGTTGTGGGTAGGAGTAGATATGGGCGTGGTGGGCGAAAGACCGGGGGCTGTCCGCCGAGTGCAGCGAAGACACAGAGCCGGTCAAAGAGACCACTGAGGTATCGATTATTTAAGCTGTCTTATATCAGTCATTACTCAAAGCCAAAGGTTATGTTCCTGGGGTGTTCAATGTGTATATTCAGACTATACATAGCAGCTCGTAGAAACTCCCCAAAAATTCACCATGACAGTATTTTACTGTTTAACTATTATCTAGTCCTTAAGTCAGACCCTCGCTAGTTTAGGCCTACCACGAGATGTTCTTTTTATATTGCAGTACTTCCAGTACGTCGATTGATATAAATGCTGACTTTTATAATACGGGAGAGACGAAACACAAAAAAGAAAAAAAACAAACAAACAGACGGCGACGGTAGCGCCGGTTATATTTTTTCTTTTTCTTTTTTTCTGTTTTGTTTTAGTTTGTTTTTTTTTCTCTCAGAAGTTAAGAAACTCTGATTATTTGTACAAGACGAGAGTGGGAAAAAATAAACTAACAGTGTATTCAATTTGATCTGTGCAGTGAAAATGTTCTCTTATACGAAAAACACAACTGTATAATGTTTTAGATTTAGTGTGGTAGACCAACTGTTAGAGAAAGGTGTCTCATTTTTTATGGAATCATACACAGATTTATATCAACACTTTACAAGTAATGCAATCATTATGTAGATATAATCATAGTATTTTTGTCAACTGTACAATTTTGCACACACACAACCTGCAATTTTTTCATCACTACTTCTTCTTCTTCTTCTTCTCACTTGTGGGACGTTCCGTTGTCTGTTTTCTTTTGGTTCTCTGCTTCTTTCGAGTGTTTCGTTTTGATATCATTTTTAATGTGACATCCTTTGTACTATTATTTTCTAGAACACAGCCTTTACACTTTGAAACTGTTTGATTATCGAGAAACTGAGAAATATATGACTTGTGAAAAAGATATCTATATGTAAATAGGAATAATGATAACTATGTCATTTACAAGTGCTACACAAACAAGCTGTTGAGGTGTTCTTGAAGAGTCGCAGCTTGGCTGTGCATACGCGAAGACTTCCCTTCATGTTGTTTACAAGTATACCTAATTAGGTGTTTGTCACATATCTCATTTTTCTTTATTTTGTATTTATAAAAGTTTCAATTGCATAAAATACAAACAAAAGAGCAGCTCCAGTTTATGCGGCTGCAAATATCCTCTTGTGTACTGTGTGCGTCACATCACACAACTTGGCAAAAATATCTTACCCACTGCTGTGATTCTGCTCTTTCTGCTTTAAGTACGTGTTGTGGACAGGCTTTCTCCTTGTCATTGTATGTGCATGCACTATGATCTGCATAACAATAACCATCAATAAAGTTTCTCAAGATAACGGGAATTTGTCTGGGAATTTCTTTGCACCATGCCGGCTGCCGGATCTTATATTCAGATGATGGAGTGCGTTTGTCCTCTGATCTGATTTCATTGACTAAAATTGCATTGAAAAGCTCAAGGCGAGGAGGAAATGATCATCTCCGAGGAGGTTAAGTGGAATTGATGCTGCCGGGTCTGAGGTGGTCATCTGTACGCCTTTAAGAAGACTCTGTGTTTAGGATGAAGGAGCGAGATCGGATTCCTGAGGTCTGATTAGGTTATCCCACACGCTTTCAGCGTTATGAAACATCTCCGGTCTGCAGATATTTCCAAAAAGGAAGCCGCAATATGGGCTTATTCTAGGGTGCAGTTGAGGTTTGAACCAAGAAAGTGGAGCACAATCACAAATGTGACCCTGGACCACAAAACCAGTCATAAGGGTCCATTTTTCGAAATCGAGATTAATAAATAAGCTTTCCATTGATGTATGGTTTGTTAGGATAGGACGATATTTGGCCGAGATACAACTATTTGAAAATCTGGAATCTGAAGGTGCAAAAAAATCAAAATATTGAGAAAATCGCCTTTAAAGTTGTCCAAATGAAGTTCTTAGCAATGCATATTACTAATCAAAAATTAAGTTTTAATATATTTACAGTAGGAAATTTATAAAATATCTTCATGGAACATGATCTTTACTTAATATCCTAATGATTTTTGGCATAAAAAAAGTTTTGTGGTCCAGGGTCACAAATAGCTGTAGATTTTTTCATTTGCATAACGGTCCTACAAATGACAATATTCCGAACGTGCTGTGAAGAACATTACTTTGGAGAATGATGGGACCCTCTCGTCATCAAACCTGAACCTGTCTGCCCCGCGTAACTGTAAGTAGCAGATATTCATTATCTTTCGCTCACTTCGCTGAGGTATGACGGAATTTCATAAATTATGTATAGTACAGATAGTTCTAATTGAAGAAAAGAAGAATTACCCCACATTCTCGATTTGATCAGTGTAATTGGAAAAACTTAGCCAGGGGTTCCTTGGAAAGATAAGCAATATAAATGTTTAAATGTGATGAAGGAGTCACATTATGCTAGGTAATTACAACACCTCTTCACAGAAATGGGTGATCAATAATTAACGTATCTTGGGTCACAAGTCGGGGACATAATTTAAAATTGGTTATTAATTCTATTATGAAAAATGTACATTCTCTTCAGATTATGTTGCCGAGTCCACAGGGAGAGGTAAAGGAGGTCTGGTGGTTTTAATTCAGTCTCTCTCTCTCTCTCACTTGCCGCTCGGTCCCTTTTCCCACTGGCTCTATGAGAGCTGTCAGTAATGTGATGATTTATGTTTCTGAATTAAATCACGTATTAAATTAAGTAATTTGGGTCTCTTTGCTCCGTTTGATTGGCTGAATGAGACTGGATTGATTATCATGCAGATTGGAGGGAGTGGATGCTGGCTTTCTCATGATCGGTCAGCCGTTGCTCTCTCATAACACTGCAGACTTGCAAATCACAGTTGTCATAGGATTCAATGTGGGATTGTTCGAAAATTCAGATGTATTGAAAAGATGTAAAGTTCACCAAATATGGATTCTCCACTAATAAAAGCTGGTTTAAACTGGTCATCCACCCTATCCTTAAGGCCTGTTTACACCAAGACAACAACAATATAGCATCTTCACCAAGGCACGATATCGTCTGTTTATTATAAGCATGTGCTGCAGTTATGTCTTCTGACACTTTAAATGCTCATTCTCATTAAAGCAGGATGGATTCTGATTGGCTGTCAATGTTTTTATATTTCATCAGATGGAAAGAATCTTTTTGGAAGTGATTCCTACAATATCGTTAGAATAGTTGTGGTGTGGACTTTTACATTCAGAATGATTTTTAAACTATATCATTATTGTTATCATCTTTGTTTTGGAAGAGGTCTTCCAGCCTTTTCAAGCTGCTCTATAACCAGTCAACAATCCAGGCTGGAAGACTGGAAATCTGAGACCGGAAAACCATCTTAGACTGGTTTAAGCTGTTTCAGCAGGGTTGCTTTAAATCAGTGATTCTCAACCTTTTTGATTTTTGACTTATTTTAAAGCTTGTTTTATTTTAGAGGCCAAATCTAGGGATGCACCGAAATGAAAATTCTATTCGAACACCGAAAGAGCTTTATATAATAATTTCGGTTGCCGAACATTCGGTGCATCCCTAGCCAATTCACATCATGGATGATGATAATCATCTATAAAGTTGGTTCAAAAAAACAACTATAACTATATAGACACAAAAGAATGATATCATTGGAATCACTTCGAATCATTGGAATCATACAAGACATACAAAAAATTGGCTGGCAATCACTCAAGCATTTAAAGTAGCGGATGCTTACAAACAACAAAACATTTTCGTCCGTTGATGTGGATGCTAATATAGTTATTGTTCTTGATGCGAATTGGTCTTAAAGGGGTCATCGGATGCCCATTTTCCACAAGTTGATATGATTCTTTAGGGTCTTAAAGGAGTCCTATTATGCTTTTTCACTTTTTTTAATTTTAGTCAGTGTGTAGTGTGTCTGTTTGGGCATAAAAAAGATCTAGAAAGTTACAAATCTCAAAGTCCACTCCAAAGGGAGATATTTCGTTTTTTAAAAATCCCTTTTCAAGAACTACAACGAACGGCTCGTTTGGACTACAGCGTTTGTTTTCCGGGCTTTGTGATATCACAAAGCAGCTCATTGGAATATCATTACAAATAATTCCCGCCTACAGAAATTCGAATGGGTGGGGAGGGGCGAGGTTGTGGTTAGAACGCTTGGTTGAGTGAATCAGACGAGACGATGAAGAAGAAGTGCTGCTGCAGAGTTAGTGCATCAGAGAAAACGAAGAAGAAGAGCTGCTGTGCTGTAGCGTCAAATTTTCAGCATGTCTAGAACAATTCTTACAAGTACAACA